TCATACAAAAAAAAATATTCAAAAGCTTACATAAATGTAAAATCCAGTTACGGATCCATGCTCTACATGCAAATTTTATATCTGAATAAAATCCGTTGAGTATCTTGCAAGCCTAATTTATAATATATTTTTTTCCTGTTTTTTTTTTTTTTTTCCTTTCAGTATTTGATTTTCTACAAATAATGATAAGAATAGGGAGAGTCATCTTAGATGGTTGGACACATAAAACAACGGTCTTCCTATAAACCCAGTTAGAAGAATAGACATATTAGATTTGGCTTATGTTAAGAAAAGAAGAGATAGCCCTAAGAAGACTTGGTTAGAAAAGATCAGAAATGACCCTTTTTATTAGATTTAAATGAGATTTTGACTCTTAACATGACTCAATGAAAAAGAAAAATTTATGTAGCTGACTTCACATTGTAGGATAAGAGCTTGATATTTGTTTTTGTTGTTACTGTAGTAGTCGTTGTAGTATTTGATTTTCTACGTCTAGCTTTGAAAGTGTTTGGTTCAAACCCTTATCTCTTTATAAAGCCGTGAGGTGGGGCAGATTCTATAAATTTCTTTCATTTTCGCATCTTTTTGCAGGAATTCTATGGGTGCATGCAGCTCCTTTTCCAACACGCCAGCTTCAATTAAAAATTATATGAGAATATGTGTTGAAGGTCATATCTTGACTGAATGGGATAATAAGAAAAATGCTTTTCAAGCTTTAAGTATTTGTAAGTAAATCATTTATGCTACTATAATTTGATCTTCTTTTGTTTCTTCAATTATATTTGATCTTCTTTTGAAAATAATAAATATATGAACGGGTGATCTTTATGATTTTACTAAGCGTCCGATGGATTGGCTAAAAATAGGAATGTGGTGCAAAAGAAATCCGCTGTAAAATTAATGTATTGCATTTGAAATGCTTTTTAGTTGTTTGGATGAGTGAAAAATGCATTGTAGTTGTTTAGATTTTTTTAAAGATTCGCTTGAAGCATTTTATAAACTGAATAAAGGAACCGAAACAAGAAGAGTAAAAAGATAAGCAAAGCAATAAATTAATCCTCTCTTTACAAAAGATGAGAGAGAAAAAATAACTTTTTAAAAAAATAAAATGCAAATACGAAAGAGCGTGGACCAATAATGGCCACCAACATAACTAAGAAAAACCCTTCATCTCTTTCTAACATCTTACGTTTTATTACCACCAATATGCAATTAACATATTGAATTTGGGATTCAACCATTATCTTCTTGATCAAATCGGGATGATGAGGACTCCAAATATTATAAAACAACCAAATAGATTGGTTAACATCCAGTGATCCCAAAAAGACACACGGAAAATAAAAATTAGCCTCCTTAAAATAAATACTTGAATCGGCATATTATAAGTAAAGAAAACAATAGATCGACAAGAGACAACGAACTTCTAGATTTGTGCCCTTTTAGATTGAAAAGCAAAATAAGTGACATGGACCAATATGAAGCACCAAGGCACACAATAGCAATCCAACACTTCTCTTAGCTGAAAATTTTGCTGAAGCTTTATCCTTCTTCAAAGCAGCAACTAAATCTCTAGAAAGACACACAATGTCATCCAGAGATAACCCAGAAAACAGCTGCACAACAACTTCTCTAACTCCAACCTCATGATCTCCTACAACGTAATCCATTTGATGATCTCATCCCAAAACCTTAAACATGAGAGGCATTATCATATGAGGCTACCTTCTTCGATACAGTAATGAATCAACGTAGAATAATGTGTCTTAGAATCTAATGTCCACTTCATCTTGCTGGCCAAATTTGCATTTCTCAAAGTAGTGCTGGCTCTAACTTTAGACTCGGTGTAAACACCAATATTGTCCAATTCAGCCTTTATTTGATTACAAATCATCTTTTCGGCGTCAACAGTTTCTACCCCCTTCCCTCGCTGAGCTTTGATCCCGATTAGAACAAGCCTGGAATTCTATAGGAAACACAACATAGGCCTTGTTGCGGGCTAGAAAATACGCGGCGATAGAGATTTAATTCTGTGTCTTAGCGTTGTACGTATAACTAGCTCACACACAGAGAACACAAGATTTTTTACGTGGAAAACCCTTAAAAGGGAAAAACCACGAGGCCTAGCCCAGTTGAAAATGATTCCACTAGATTTTGAGTTGATTATAAAGGACTGAATCGCCTCCAAGGGTGATCAGATTACAATCAATTACTTAAGTAAGACGTCGGATCTTCGGCAAAACGTAGGGACTGAACGTCGGGCCCTGAGTAGGACGTCGGGTCTTCGGCAGAACGTAGGGACTGAGTGTCGGGCCTTGAACAAGACGTCGGGTCTTTGGCAGGACGTCGGGACTGAACGTCGGGCCCTGAGTAGGACGTCGGGTCTTCGGCAGAACGTAGGGACTGAGTGTCGGGCCTTGAACAAGACGTCGGGTCTTTGGCAGGACGTCGGGTCTTCAGTAGGACGTAGGGGCTGAACGTCGGGCCTTAAGGTGGTGATTCGGCGAGGTTCTGCGGTGATCCGGCGAGTTTCCTGCGGTGGTCTGACGAGGTTCCTGCGGTGGTCCGACGAGGTTCCGGCGGTGGTCCGGCGAGGTTCTGCGGTGGTCCGGCGGCTGTCGAGGAGGAGCTCCTTCCTTCTCTTCTCTTGTTCTCTCTCTTGCTTAGCTCCTCTCTTGTGAAGAATGAGGGCTCTATTTATAGATTTTCTGGAGTGGCATGGCCTGTAAATAGGTGTGAGATCAAGGGCGAATAGGGAGTGGTTCGAATCGACGGCCGATGGTGAACCCTTAGATCGTGCACCGTTCGTTGGACATTTGGAGGTCTTAATGATGTCGGAATTCATCGATCTTGGGCTCGTTGGATTTGTCTCGTCGAACCGTTCGATTCGAGTATAAGCTCGTCAAAATCGGAGACATTTTGGTAACTCAAATTGCTGTTTGAACCTTTCGATAGCACTTTGAGCCCTCGATTCAGACTCATTTGGGCTCGGATTGCGTTTATCTTGGTGTCATTGGGTTCGTATTTTCTAGACGCTCAGCTTGACTGTAAGTTTGCTGAAATCGGAGTTCGGGCGCTCCCAAAATTAATTTTTGAAGTTTCCAACTGGCTTTTGCCTCGAGATTCATGCCCGATCAAGATAATTTTTACATGACGTATCAGGCCTCTTTAGAAATTCCCGCCGAAAGCAGTCCTGCAGCATCCGCTCCAACATGAAAACCACCCCTATATTGAACCTCCTTCCCTTTATGTAAGCAAGACATCCCCTTTGCACTGGAAGAATTACCACCTGTATCAGCATCAGCTCCATGCATCAACTACATGATGCCGGAGCTGAGCTGATTTATCCGATTAAACTTCAGTCTATTTTTATTTCTTTTGGTAGCGTATATGGTTACATAGAATTAGCGCTCTCTTGTTTTGAGTGTTGCCTATTATGGGTTACATTTGTCTATAAATAGGAGCATTTACTTGTAATAGAGATTAGATTGTGGAGATGAATAAGAATTGAGTAGTTTTACTCTTTTGGTTTCTGTATCCTGAAGGATTTCAGGTGGTGATCTATCTCCTCCGAGAAGTTCTTGGAGTTATCCGGCGACGGCCACCGGATCATCGACGTGGATTCGTCGAGCCCCCTCCGGTCCAGTGTCATTTGGTATCAGAGCCGGGAAGATGCCGGAGATAGTTTTGTTTGTTTAATTTCTTCTGGACGGTGGTGAAAAGAGAGCCATAGCAATTTAGAAGGTCTTCTTAGACCCCTTGGAGGCGTTAGCTGCTACCTCCATGAACTTGGTCGTGCTAGCTTTGCGGTGGCCATCAGAGTGCTGTCTTGATTCTTGGTGGCCAATTTTCGGCTTCGTTGATCTACGGCGGTGACCCTTCTTCAGTGGCGGAACGGCTTCGGTGGCGACCCGTCTTCGGTGGCGGAACGGCTTCGGTGGCGAGTCAGACTCATTGGCAAAACCGGGAGGCTCTTCTTATTTTATTTCCTGTATCTTGGACAAAGTTCCAAGTGGTGGCCAACTCCATCTCCTTCCCAGTTGTCGGCTCTTGTTTTAGCAAAGTGCATAAGCTCTAGTGTCAATTATTTCTCTTGACTGGAAAAAAAAAACTTCCTCCTATAGGCAAGAAGTGCAGTCCAGCAACCAAGAAGGTTGTTGTCTTCTTCGGCTACTATACCTTCTTCAAACGATCTGAACAACAAGGTCTTCCTTCCTTCCTTAAGGCTGCTGTCAACTTTCTTGTTCTCCAAACAACTGTTGTGGCTATAATTGCAGCCGCAGTCCCCTTCTTTCGGTTCATGAATTATGCAATAAAGATCTGTCTGAATCTTCATTTAGCATTCAGAATTCCTTCTAAGAGGCCTCTAATTCCTAGTCCATAAATAAGAAGCTGCGGAGCAGGTGCGGTCCGGAGGCGGTTGATCTGCAGGAAGTGCATGTGCTGCTAGGCATCGCAGACCGAGAGTCATCTCAGAACGTGCGCCAAAGCAAGAAACATGGGAGCCAAACCCGCGTGGGAACAGTAGGAGGATCGCTGGTTGAGTGTGCGGACCAGAGAAAGCTATAGGCAGCAAATTTCAGGCTGATTCATCCACAAAACGGAAGCTGGAGGAGGCTTCGGTGGCAGGTGTATACTGCACGTGGGGCGTGGACGATGGAGGAAGAGGTCTTATAGCGACCGAGAGTCATCTCCAGTGTGGAGCCTTTGCCTAAGAACATCTGAACAGCCTGTGGGCATTCTTGCATTTCCTTAGCTCTAGATTAGTTTATGTTCTTGAAGAACAAAACAAGATGCCTTCTCGATGGACATTGCAGGGATCATGTCAAGAAGAAGAAATCGAAGATCTTCTACAAGAAATTGCCCGACTCAAATTAAGATTGTCAAGGATTGAATGAAGAACCTTACGAACCGATGATGACGATAAGGGCATTTCGGATGATCAGATATCTTCCACCCCACCCTCGGTCGAGCTCATCTTCGAAGAAATTGAAGATTCGATGTCGAAATCGCCATCTTTGCCTGTCTTTGATGAACCCGTGTATGAGGATGACGTGTTCGATGGAGTTCTTGATTGGCAGCAACCCGCATATGATAACTATGATAAGAGCATATATGAAAATGTACAATCGAAACTATTCGCTCACTATGTTCCAAAAGTGATTGATAAAGTGGAGGTGGAGCTGCCTAAAACAACAAAGGGAACCCTGATGCACCGCTTTCTCATAACTTCTCCCTTTTGTGAATACACAGTAGTTAATGATAACTATCTTGCCAAGCTTGATCCATATGCTCCTCTAGACAAAGCCTATATGGTCAGTTATGGTATTTCCACAGAGTTCAGGGCAATGCTATATGTTGCAGAGCCAAAAAAAATATCCAAGGTAATCATTTTTTATCTCAGAGCAGTTGGTCTTGGCACAGCAGCAGGTGTAAGAATTGCCGAAAAATCACACATTATTGGTGTTGACTTCAATCCAAACCGATTTGAGAGAGAAAGAAAGTTTGGTATAAATGAATTTATGAATCCCAAGGATTATGATAAGCCAATTCCACCTGCTTATACTATTATTGAGAAATTAAAGATTGGTAGGCAAATTGACAGCGGGTGGACCTATCCTGATTGGTTTAGCCAACCAAATCCACCTCTTTATGGTGTCCAACTGGACATTTTTCTATGAGCCTGAAGTTCCTCCTACCCCGGTAGTATGACGCCGGAGCTGAGCTGATTTATCCGATTAAACTTCAGTCTAGTTTTATTTCTTTTGGTAGCGTATATGGTTACATAGAATTAGTGCTCTCTTGGTTTGAGTGTAGCATATTATGGGTTACATTTGTCTATAAATAGGAGCATTTACTTGTAATAGAGATTAGATTTTGAGATATGAATAATATTTGAGTAATTTTACTCTTTTTGGGTTTCTATATCCTGAAGGATTTCAGGTGGTGATCCATCTTCCAAGGAGTTCTTGGAGTTATCCGGTCACGGCCACCAGATCATCGACGTGGATTCGTTGAGCCCCCTCTTGCCCACCCAACCCAACACCACAACATCTCTTTTCCATCCAAACCCCAAAGGGAAAATTCGACAAATAGCTTGATGTTGACTGTTGGGGAAAATTAAAATATGATCCAAATAAAAATGAGTTCCTAAAAAAATTTTTAATCCAGAATCATGTTGATCCACAAAATACCAAAATCTTGGTAAGAATATTCAAACTTAACAAGAGAAGTACGAATGGAAACGAGCTAAGCTGAGCCGAGTATGCGTGTTGATATTTGAGTTCGTTTATGATCAGGTTGTTCAAGTTCGGTTCATGTTTGATTCGAGGTTTTTTGTTTGTGTTAAAACTTGCTTCATTTAAATTCATGGGTGCTCTTGTTCGGTTCATATTTGATTCATGTTCGATTCGTTTCATGCTTAGCTAGCTTTAAACAAATGAGTCTTGTCGAGCTATAAACAAGCTCTACTTCAAAATGTTCTTTAACTTAACAAAAAAGTCTTATCGAGCCTTCTATGATGTAGAACCTGGAGGCGATCCTCCTCGAATACCTGCAACTGAAGACCTCACAGCAAAAACAACACAAGCAATGGAATAGTAGAAAGTAATATTGATTTCAGATAACTGCGTTTTTTAGCCAACACTATTGGTATATACTTATGTAGAAGAAACTAGTGAGGGTACTATGGGTAATGACTAAAAGAAATAATTAAGATACTACTAATTATGAAAATAAGAAGGAAGTGGAGAACGTGAAGGTCGTTCAGAATGAGTGGCCAAGCTGACATTCAGTTAAGTAGGCATTTTGCTATTCTTCCCTTATGCTATGGTAAAACGGTACCACATCATTCTAAAAAACAATTACATAGAACTTGTTCGTGAACATATCAAGCAATATTTTTTAAACTATCAAATAAGCTCATTCACAAACATATCTGTGAAAAACTGAGCACAAGAGATGAGAAAGAAGAGGAAAATAGAGATGTTGAAGAAAGGAAAATAATTCTATGTGTTTCTTACAGGACAGAGTGCAGTATATATAAAAGGAAATGTGACAGCTTTACAACTTCACAACTAATCAGATTTAGACACGTCAGCTATTTATAATAGCAGATAATCATATATCAAGTTGCTAATACGCTCCTGCAAACTGAAGGGTCTTGAGTGACCGTTAGTTTGAGACATAGTTGATGAAATCTTGGACTGGATAGGGATTTTGTGAATATGTCCGCAACTTGATCGATGGTGCTGATAGGGAGAAGTCAAATGTTATTGTGCTAAATGTGATCACGGATGAAGCGTTGGTCAATTTCAATATGTTTGGTGCGAGCATGAAAGACAGGATTGTTTGCCAATGCTATTGCGGAAGTGTTAACGCAAAATAGATCGATTGGATAGTCTTGAGGAAATTTGAAGTCAACAACCAATTTGCGGAGCCATATGATGTCAGATGTAAGAGATGCTAGTACACGATACTCTGAATTGGTGGATGATCTGGCGACCGTGTGTTGCTTTTTGACAGTCCAAGAAATGAGGTTTTTGCCTATAAATGAACAGTGTCCCGAAGCAGATTTGTGAGATATGGGATCGCCTGCCCAGTCCGCATCTAAAAAGGAAGTAAGGATTAAGTTAGATTATGTAATAGGCAACCCATTATCAAGTGTACCTTTTATGTATCACAGAAGTCATTTAACAAGGTAGACATGATGCTACTCTGGATCGTGCATGTGTTGAGAGAGCATATTAACACTGTATGAAATATCAGGACGGGTTATATTTAAGTATTGCGGGAAGCCAGTTATCTTCCGGTACATTGAAGGATCGGTTAGCTGCTGATCTTGCAGTATGACAGATGGAAGCTTGGTGCATGTGGGGTTGGAGAGCGAATTACACCTGGTTAGTTGTGCTTGATCCAAGATGGACCAGGCATACCATTTTTTAGATAGGAAGTACTTCTGATTGGTCTGATCGATTTGAATGCCCAGGAATGAGCTAGTAACACCTAAATTTTTCATGGAAAATTGAGTGTTGAGCTTTTGTAATATATTGTTAATGGCCTCCTTGTCGTTAACGGTTATAAGAATATCATCGACATAAATTAGGAGAAATATGTGTATATGTCGTTGTCAAACGATAAACAAGGAAGGATCAGATTTGCTTTGCTCAAACCCGAGAGTCAGCACTTAGGATGTAAACGTGTTGTACCATTATCGTGGGGCTTATTTGAGGACATATATAGCCTGTGAAGAAGACAAACATGATCCGGATGAGTTTTATCTTCGAACCCTTTGGGTTATTGCATGTAGACCGTCTCCGATAAAGAACCGTGAAGGAATGCATTTGTGACATCGAGTTGTTGGACCTGCCATTCATTATGAAGAGCTATAGTTAGTAAGATATAAATTGTATGTAGCTTGGAAACAGAACTAAACATTTTTGTATAGTCTAATCCATATTCTTGGTGATTTCCTTGAGCGACGAGTCGAGCTTTGTAGCACGCAATTGAGCCGTCCGAATGAATCTTGGTGCGAAAGGTCCATTTGCATCCCAGAATGGATGCTTCTGGAGGAGGTGTAACGAGGCTCCATGTGCCTTATTTTGTAACGCAAAGAACTCAGCGCCCATAGATTTTCTCCATTCGACCAGTTTGACAGCCTCTATATACATCGTAGGATCAGATAGTAATTCAATTAACATTTATTTATGAACAAGATTTAGGCAGACAATCAGTTTGAGAGAGCCAGTTTGTCTTCTTATTACCATGGGATGATGATACTGAGGGATAGAGTCATGCTGAACATTTGTGGTGGAGGCCAAGCTCTCATTCGTGGTGGTGGGAGTAAGGTGAGGAGAATATGGTGTGGTAGACTCTGAGTTTTTTGTTTGAGTAACAACATGATTAGAAGGATTGGTAGTGGTAGAACAGTAAGGGATAAGAAGATAGGGGGTAATATTGGTAGTCTGAGAAGTATGATTGGGTAAATGAGTAGAAAAAAGAACAGAGTTTTCATTGAACATGATATGGCGAGACATGATGGTTCGATTAGTAACAAGATCCAAACAATTGTACCCTTTGTATGCGTTAGTGTATCCAATGAAGACGCATGAGAGAGCTTTGGGTTGGGATTTGTGACGAGTGTGTGAAGGAGTGAGCGGGAAGCATTCGCAGCCAAAAGTCTTCAAGTGACTGTAGTCAGGTTGGGTGTTGCGTAAAAATTGAAATGGAGGGAGATTATTTGTAATACGAGATGGCATCCTATTTATAAGATAAACTACAATTAACATGGCATCTAGCCAATGAATGAAGGGGATGGAAGCAATACGGAGGAGAGTGCGAGTAGTTTCTGTTGAGTCTAGTAAATAGGTTGTTAGACCTAAGTTAATGTCCCAAGGCTACCAAGAGGGGGGTGAATTGGTATTTTAAAAATTTAAACCCTCTTTGAAAATGTGTTGAACCGAAATGAAAATTTTTATTAAGTTTTTATAGAAAACGTTTTTTCAAACGCAGAGTTTTTTAAACAAAAAATAAAATGCGGAAAACTAAAAACAGTAAAGTAAATGACACCAGATTTATAGTGGTTCGGTCTA